GTTGAGGATGTCTCGAGCGAAACGCTGGTTTGGCAAACTTTGGGATGTCTCGAGCGGGGGCCTCGTGGGGGGCCAGAATTCAGAGGATGTCTCAGGCGAAATGCTTGTTGTCACGTCCTGCTCGCAGTGGTTCCGAGGATGTGTTGCGCGTGCTGCGTCCCGCGCGCATGAATTTCGAGGATGTCTGAACTAATTCGGTTATGTTGCAAGGTTTTCTTTGTCGTCCCTGAGCATGGTTCCTGGGGAAGAAGATTCTGGGCAGGCTGCATCCTTGTCGCCATGGCTGGATTCGGGGATTCGTCGCTACTGGCTGCATTGTTTTCCGCCCGAGTTCGAGGCGGGGTATCAAGTGTCGGCTTTCGCTCCCGAGGGGGTAGTTGTGTTGTGCCTTCCCTGGCGGCCCGAGGGCCTGGCAAGGGGGGCGCCGTGTCGCTGGCTCCCGTGTGGGCCCGTGGGGATCCCCTGGGGGCCCAAGCACACCTCGTGGTGCTCGGAGTTGGCGTCTGCGTAACGACGAGGGTGCCCCAGGAGGGCGCTTGGCGTACGGTGCTTCGTCTGCGGGCCAAGGGCTCTTGGCTGGCGTCGCCAGCTTCCCCGCCCTCCCTCCCTGGTGGATCTGGTGCGTCGGCTGGCGGGGTCTCGAGGTCTCGGTTGGGTCTTTCGAGCGCCCCTGGCCGGCCGCACCGAGTGCGTTGCCCAACTGTCCGTGCGGGCGCACTGGACCACCCCAGGGGGGAGGCAGCCCACCATAATCTTTTTTGATTGTGGCAGGATGTCTAACGCGAAACGCTTGTTTTTCACAATTTGTTGAGGATGTCTCGAGCGAAACGCGGGTTTTGCAAAATTGGAGGATGTCTCGAGCGGGGGCCTCGCGGGGGGGGAGGGGCAGAATTCAGAGGATGTCTCAGGCAAAATGCTTGTTTTCACATCCCGCGCGCAGGAATTCCGATGATGTCTCGCGCGTGCCGCGTCCCGCGCGCAGGAATTTCGAGGATGTCTCGACTAATTCGTTTGTGTTGCTAGGATGTCCTCGGATTTTGGCAGGATGTCTCGAGCGAAACGCTTGTCCCCAGCACGTTCCGTAGCGCGTCCCCTTGGCACGTCCCGCGGTGCGTCCCCATGGCACGTCCCTTGGCACGTCGCTTGGTGCGTCCCTTGAGACGTTCCACGGCGCGTCCTCCTGGCATGTCCCCCTGTCAATTAGCTCTGGGGCAGCTACTATGTGTTCAGGCAGCTCGACCTTAAGATCCAGATCAGTTCGGTCAGGACTCGGATGCAACGGAGGACTCGATCCACGACGCTATAGAGCACAATCGCGCCATGGCACATCGCAATTCAGCACGGCGCAGCACAGCACTGATTTCGGCACGGTACATCAAGATAGATACATTCAGCATTGCAACTTGGCACGTTCCTTGGCACGTTCCGTGGGGCGTCCCTTGGCGAGTCTCCCTGGCGCGTCGCATGGCGCGTCCCCTGGCACATCCCGTTGCACATCCATTGGCACATTCCGTAGCGCGTCCCCTTGGCACCTCCCGCGGTGCGACCCCATGGCACGTCCCCTGGCACGTCGCCTGGCGCATCCCTTGGGACGTTTCACGGCGCGTCCTCCTGGCATGTTCCCCTGTCCATTAGCTCTGGGGCAGCTTCTATGTGTTCAGGCAGCTCGAGTTTAAGATCCAGATCAGTTCGGTCAGGACTCGGATGCAAAGGAGGACTCGATCCACGACGCTATAGAGCACAATCGCGCCATGGCACATCGCAATTCAGCACGGTGCAGCACAGCACAGCCCTCGGCAGGGTACACCAAGATCGGCACACTCAGCGTTGCATTTGCCCGTCACCCAATCAGGTGTCTTTGAAAACGCTGCCATGTGTTACAGTTCTAGATTCCTTTCCGAGTTCGTGGGTCGATCATGTTTTTCGACCCTGACCCTACGGATCTGCGTGAGGGGTGCCACCGAATTTCCGAAATGTGGCACATCCCTTGTGTGTTTTGGACCCTGACCCTACGGATCTGCGTGAGGGGTGCCGCCGAATTTCAGAGATGTGGCAAATCCCGTGTGTTGTTGGACCCTGACCCTGTCGATCCGCGTGAGGGGTGCCACCGAATGTCAGAAACGTTGAGAATCCTTTAGGTTTTCGGACCCTGACCCTGGTGCCAGCGAATATCAGAAATGTGGCAAATCCCATGAGTGTTTGGACCCTGACCCCGCCGATCTGCGTGAGGGGTGCCAGCGAATGCCAGAAATGTTGCAAGTCCCGTATGTATTTGGACCCTGACCCCGCCGATCTGTGTGAGGGGTGCTAGCGATTGTCAGGAATGTAGCAAATCCAATTTGTTTTTGGACCCTGACCCTGCCGATCTGCGTGAGGGGTGCCAGCAATTGTCAGACATGTGGCAAATCCCAAGTGTTTTGTTGACCCTGACCCCGCCGATCTGCGTGAGGGGTGCCTCCGAATTTCAGAAATGTGGCAACTCCCTTATGTTTTTTGACCCTGACCCCGCCGATCTGCGTGAGGGGTGCAAATTTTTACCCACCCCGGCAATTCAGAACACACGCTCAGGGCGTGGTAAACCTGCCCGTATGGGCCTCCCCCCCCTCGCGCGGTCCATCAACAAGGAACAGTGAGCAGCAAGAAGCAGAAACTGCAACTGGTACAGGAAACTGCGAACCTTCGGCCTACAGCCTGGTGGCCCACAAGGGGGCCGGCGGATTTCAACAGACTTCCATCCATTGGGTAGGGAGAGTATCTCTGCATTTGGTCAATGAACACCGCCTCTCCCATGTGACCGGGGTGAAGACTGGAACAATGAAATCCTCTCCCGCCATCTTGCCGAACATCATGCACACACAATGCATTTTTCGACGCTATCCTCCTCCCTTTCGTCGTGCTTATCCTCCTCCATGTGCTCCTCCTCCTCGTTTTCGATGTCGTGATTCTCATCCTCGTCCTCGCCGCCTTCGTCCTTCCAGGGCATTTGGTGACTATCTCCCTCTCAGCCCCTCTCCAATGCGTTTTTATATAAGAGCGATGTGTGTATGTATATATATATATATAAATAGGTGTGCGTGTGTATGTATATCCGCTCTGTTTCCTCTTTCGACCCTGCCAACTCACCCTCTACTCTCCACTTTCGCTGCTCACAACTTTGCAACCTTGTCTTCGATATGCGTATTCTGCTCGCTAGTCTCAACGCTATCACATGGACAACGGTCGCAAGGGCGCGGGTACTTGGCCGAGCCACCGACTCCGAGAACCCATATGCATGGATGTATATACATGCCTATCCACTCATATGAATATCAGATTTACACACCAGATGGCTGGGCGGATGGCTGGGATACAAGCTGTGCGGTCCTTACGGCCGGAACCAACAACCAGATGGACAACGACGACGACCGCCACGACGACAACGACAACGACGAGCTGATGACCCTGCCACAGGCTCGGAACATGGCGCGGGCGGTGGAGAGAGGAGGAGGAGGAGGAGGAGGAAGAGGAGGAGAAAGAAGAGAAGGAGGAGGAGGCGGAGGACGAGGAGGAGGAGGAGGAGGAGAAGGAGGAGGAGAAGGAGTGGGAAGGGGAGGAGGAGGAGGAGGAGGAGGAGGAGGAGGAAGAAGAAGAAGAAGACGAATAAGCAGAAGCAGAAGAAGAAGAAGCAGAAGAAGCAGAAGAATAATAATAATAATACTAATAATAATAAGAAGTAGAATAATAACAAGAATAATAATAATAAGAATATGAAGAAGAAGAAGAAGAGGAGGAGGAGGAGGAGGAGAAAAGGGAGGAGGAAAGGAGGAGGAGGAGGAGGAGGAGGTGGAGGAGGAGGAGGAGGAGGAGGAGGAGGGGGATGTGAAGAGCGAGGGGGATGTGAAGAACGAGGAAGAGGAGGAGGAGGAGGAGGAGGAGGAGGAGGAGGAGGAGGAGGAGGAGGAGGAGGAGGACGAGAGAGAGAGAGAAAGAAAAAGAGAGAGAGAGAGAGAGACAGAGAGAGCCGTCTGTTTCCTCGGGGGCCGGCGCATGGGAGGCGAAAGCCGACAGGGAAAGCCGCCGCCAGCGGGGGAGGGGTCACAACTCCCGTATACCTTCGGCAACACTCAGAAATCACGCTCTCGCTCCGGAATTCCTGACGATGTATTGGGAATCGCGCAATCGTCGGAGACGTCCTCGCGATTCATGCATGGGTCGACGCTTGAGCGACCCGCCCGCTCGACCTGGCCGTCTGGGGGCGTGCCGCAATTGCTCGCCATTCTCTTCGAGCGCGTGCAGCGGCGAGGTCCAGGTCGCCCGCAGGGGCGCCGGGGTTGCCATCGCTTCGCGGCCAGGGCGGGGGGGGGGCATCTGTTGCTCCACGGGCGGCGGCCCACGCGAGGGCGCGCAGGTGGCCTCACGCCGTGCCTCGCGGGGCGCCACGCTCGAAGCGGGTTGCCCTGAGGGCTCTCGTGCGCAGCCCCTCGCCTGCATGTAAGTCGGGCCTGTCCCTCCACAGGAGGAATCTTGAACAATAGTGACCAATCGTCTGGGGACGATTTGTTTTACTATTTTTGAGCATTTTGTGGGGCCTTCTTCATGTATTTATAATTTGTCGCCCAAGCTCCGCCTGTAGAGGGACAGGCCCGACCTGAGCCTGCCTCCCCTCTTCGCCGCTGCCCTCGTCCGTTGTCGGGCCCCCGTGCGCTGCTCCCCGTTGCGGTCGGCGCACTCCGCGGCGGCGCCGGCCAGCGCACAAGACACGCCTCGCTCTGGCAGCCCTCTCCGCGCCCAGGCGCCGCCGTCGTGTCCTGCGCAGTCCCAGGGAGTGGGCGCCAGGGAGGCACACTGCTCTGGTGACAGCGCGTGGATCTCTCTTCCTCCTTCTCCTTCTCCTCCTCCTCCTCCTCCTCCTCCTCCTCCTCCTCCTCCTCCTCCTCCTCCTCCTCCTCCTCCTCCTCCTCCTCCTCCTCTTCCTCCTCCTAATGCAAAGCGAACTCATCGGGTAGAAGTTGCAGGACGCGATGGCCATCGACTTGCAGGTACTTCCTGCCGAGATCCGTGACGTGAATGAGACGTCGCGCCGTCCAGGCATCTTGGCTCCAAATGCACCTCGCGATGCTCCGCATAGTTTGAGGACGAGCCTCAAGATGTGTCGTTGAATTACCGTCTCGCGTACTGGTGGTGGTGCCGTCGGGTATCTGAGAGAGAGCGTTCCTGGCCAGTCTAGTTGCAATCTTCATCATGCGTTTCGTCTCTTGAACTTTCAGCTCCGGGGAAGAACGGATTGCTCGAGGTCTTCCAGTAGATACTCTAAGATGGAAGCGTATTGTTCGGATTTGAACACATAGGTTGGGATGCTTTGCTCCTCGAGCGGGACATGCGTCTTAGCGCGGACGCGGAGGACAACCATTGCATGATCGCTCAGGCTCCAATCAGAATACTCAGCCGCCTCACGGTGCACCTCAAAATGGCACGAGCGGCAAGTCCGACAAGCTGCTTGGCGAGTTCAGCAAAACCAACAGCCCGAGCGGGATGCCATCCTTCAGCGTCGTGAACATGTTGCGCGTACACGAGCTGCTCTGTGGGCACCTTTTCGTAAACGATTGGTCCTGGATGGGCTACAAGTTCACGGCGCTGGCGAGGCTGGCCCTGTGGCGCGACAGCCCGGCATGATCGCCAAGGCGCTTGCGCATCACTGGTCGCAGGTCGTCGTGGGTCTCGAGGCCCAGCTGGTGAATGACGAGGAGATTGACGCCTTCCTCGACGACGCGATGCCAGACATGCCCAAGATTGATATGCCCATACCGTCTATTGAAAAGCTTCGTGGTGCTTTCAAGCGTGCTCGGCGTGCTGCCCCGGGCCCTGACGGCCTCCCGGTGGACGCTTGGCTGCCGTGCCAGAGGGCCATGGACAACGTGTTCCCGCTCATGCAGAAGATGTTCGACGGGTCTGCTCTCATTCCAGGACTTAACGACAGTCTGTTCGCTTTCCTCCCCAAGGGTTTGGCGGATCCTGGGCGGTCAGATCTGACGGACTGTATTCGGGCACCCGGCACTACCAGACCACTTAGCCTGAAGAACCAAGACATCAACGCGATAGCAACAGCAATGAACTATCACATGAAGGGTGTGGCAGAGTCGTCAACTGATCCAGACCAGCAGGGATTTATCGCATGTAGAAACTATGCCAGGCACATTCTCACTATGGATACGGAAGCGAGGATTGCATCTCTTGCTGCGGATGCAGAGCAGGAAAAGCCAGTTTTCAGAAGCTATGATTTTGCTTCGGCTTTTCCTAGCCTTAACCGCCTCTTCCTGTTTCGCGTTCTTGCTCGTTTCCAAAATCCCGCTAGGCTACCAGCTCGCCATTTCCGCTCTGTATTCCCAGATGGTCGAATGGATCCGCGTCGGTGGCTCCCGGCAGTTCCCGATCCCTATCCGCTCGGGGGTGGCCCAGGGGTGTCCTCTTAGCGGCACACTTTGGGCGCTCGGGCTTGATCCTTTCCTCCGCCTCCTCTCTCGTGCCCTCCCCTCTCGCTCTCTCGGGACACTGGGGGCCTGCGCCGACGACATCGGTTCGGTCCTTCGATCCCTCCGCCTGATCCAAGCCCTCGAGCCCCTTTTTGTCCGCGTCCAGCGGGTTGCCACGCTGCGTCTTCAGGTCGCTAAATGCGTCATCGTGCCTCTGTGGACCGAGATTTCGTCCGATTCGATTTCGGACATCCGCGCTATTCTCACGCAGTGTGCTCCGTCATGGGCCGGGTTCTGCATTAAGAGTTGCGCGAAATACCTCGGCACCCTCATCGGTCCAGGTGCTACTTTCGACATGATATGGGACGTTCCTCATCAGAAATATGTCGCGAGGTGCAAAGAACTAGGAATGTTGCAGTCATCTGCCGATGTCGCCTCGAGATTATATAACTCTTATGTCGTTTCTTGCCTCTCTTATCTGAGCCAGTATTACCCCTTGAGTTCCGCGTTGCAGCGGCGCGAGCTCTGGGGTTTGCACAAATCTCTTCTCATCTCCCCCCGAACTCCTTCGCCCTCTCGGAGCTCCTCTCCCTCGCCTCTTGGTCTCCCTCCCCCGCTCCTCACGCCATATGCTCTTTGGTGGTGGCGAATGCGTGGCGGTCCGCCTCCATGTCTCTAGATAATGTTTGGGGTCCGTTGTACCGTCGGCTCCAGCTCGCTGCTGATCTAGTCTCGGGAATGGTGGATCACCTCCCAGTTGTGGACATAATTCAGCACGCCTGGTGCGCGCTGTGTTGGAAGATGAAGCAGTCGATTGTGCAGTACTACGAGCAGTTGAGATCCACCGTGCCGTGTCGCCGTCCTCCCCTCTTGGCCTCGCAGCTTCGCCTCGCCCAGAGCCGTGCCCGTGCCGCCGTGCGTGAGGCCGCTCTGCAGGGACGCCGGCCCAAGATGCAAGGTCATTTTATGCGTTCGGTTTCTGTCTCAGCCTATCCCGACAAATTAGAGTTCCTGATTGGGCGTCGCGTGCGGGCCTGGTTTAATGTCACCCCCACACGACTGCGAGAGCGGTGGGCCCTTGCTCGAGAAATCCTGCTCCGGGCTCCCGCTTCGATCCGTTGGCTTTACTTGAAAACGGTCGCTGGGGGGGTGGACGACAACGGACCGCATGCACGTGACCTCGGAGCGCTGGTGTTGTGTGCTCGGTCGCCACCGCTATCCGGACAGTATCGAGCATTACCTTCGATGCCCTCGCCTTGTCCATCTGATTTGTCGTCCTCGTGCGGTGGTGCCCTCATGTCCGCTCATACGTCTCGGACTTGAGCTGCCAGTTCATTATCCAGCGCTCGATTTAACTCGAGAGAATGCTGTGCTTGCTACATCCTTGTGCTTTTACATCTACCACATAGCCAAGGAAATGGTTGGGCGGCAGAACGGTCGGCCCCTCGATCTGTCTCAATCTCTCGTGGCCCTCAAAGCGGTGCTCACGAAAATGCCTGACAATTACTCGCTTCTTCCGCCTCCGCCTGGAACGGCTAGGCCTTATCCCTGGCTGAACCCCCCAGGCGTTGAGTGCCGTAGGACCGACGGACGCATGAGGTACTGGCGCTCCTCCTCCTCCTCCTCCTCCTCCTCCTTCTCCTTCTCCTTCTTCTCCTCCTCCTGCTCCTCCTCCTCCTCCTCCTCCTCCTCTTCCTCCTTCTCCTCCTCCCCGTCCTCCCCCTCCTCCTCCTCTTCCCCTCCTCCTCCTCCTCCTCCTCCTCCTCATCCTCCTCCTCCTCCTCCTCCTCCTCCTCCTCCTCCTCCCCTCCTCCTCCTCCTCCTCCTCCTCCTCCTCCTCCTCCTCCTCCTCCTCCTCGCCTCCTCCGTCCTGAGGAGGCCGATCCCAACGACGGCTGGCGGCCCCTGCACTGCGCCGTGATGACCGAGTCGCTGGAGGCGGTGGAGTATCTGCTGAAGCAGAAGGCGCCCGCCTTGCACGAGCCATTTGGGACTGGGCACGTGGCGCACGAGCGAGCACGTTCACGGCGCAGTCGTGCGCCGGATTCGGCCTGGCCGCAGGGGCCGTGGCGGGCTCGTACGCAGGCGGCCTGCTCGCGTGTGCTGCGGGCGTTGGCGGAAATCTCGGTCGAGCTCGGCCACTCCCTCCTCCTCCTCCGCCTCCTCCTCCTCCGCCTCTTCCTCCTCCTCCTCCGCCTCTTCGTCGTGCGAATCTTCCTCCTCCTCATCCCCCTCCTCCTCCTCCCCCTCCTCCTCCCCCTCCTCCTCCCCCTCCTCCTCCTCCTCCTCCTCCTCCTCCTCCTGGGGTCGGCAGACTGGGACAATGGGAGAATGGCCGGCGCACCCAAGCGGGGAAGAAGGCCTCGGGCGTTCTGTGAAGCCATGTCTGCCCTCTCCGAGGTCACAGGGGGCGTCTTGGAGGGTTGGGGAGCTGCCGAGGAGCCCCGCCGCCTTTGAGAAGGCCTGCCTCCGCTCACGGTCCCCCTCGGCGCACCGCTGAGAGAACGAGCCAATGGCAGCCAGTTTGGGGGGCGGGGGCCGAGGAGCCAGAAAATCTTGTGATCCCCGGCCTCGTCACACCCGAACGCCGCGGACATCGAGAATTGCCCGCCGCTACACCAGCTGCGAAGGTGAGTACTGCAGCTTTTGCGGCACCGTGGGAACAGAGGCAGAGAGAGAGAGAGAGTCAGTGAGAGACCGGACAAGTAGGCGGACCAGGGTCCGTCCGCGAGGCGCACTGCGGTGCGACAACTCGCCAAACACTATTTGCGGCGGTGCAGCCTTGAGATACGAGGGCGGGCAACAAACCCCCTCCCCCGGCGCAATGCGACAGACGCTACAGACGGCGGACAGACGGTGAAGATCTCACGTGTCAGACCGCGTGACGAAGAAGGCCCCAACAAGAAAGGCGACGTGCTGACACGTGGCTAGGCGGCTTGGCAGACCGCCAGTTGGGCGCTTGGCCGCAAAGCGGCGCGCAGGGACGGGGCACCCCCCGCCCCCACGCCCTGACACCGTGGACGCGGGGCCACGCGTACACACGGGCAGGCTGAGCAGCGGCAAGGTCGGCGGCGAGAGCAGCACACCTCTGCTGAAGAGCGGCCATAGACTGGGACAGCTCGGTTTCGCGGTCGGTGAGGGGCGGCTGCTCTGTGCCTGGGGCCGCGGGCCTCGTGGCAGGGACGAGGTCATCGGTGCGCCAGGCCAGGTGGTGGACCAGCGCGGCGCGGCGATCCGTGCGCTGGCGGCCGTCGCCCTTGAGAGGCGACTGGAGGGTAACACGCGGTCCCAGGGCTGAAGCCGCTAGGGCCACGCCCCGTGAGGACGGAGGAGCCGCAGCCTCGCACCCAGCAACAGTAAAAGCGTGGACGGGGTGCGACGGCCTGACTGGCTCGGTGCCCTGCGGGGGGGCTGGAGCCGCCCCCGCGGGCTGGCGCTGGTGGGGGGGCGGGGTGGGTGGCACGGGGGGGCCAATCATGATGCCGTGCGAGGGCTCGGAGGTCGGCCGCGTGGTCGGGTGGCGTCTCGATGGAGCGGCATCGTCGGCAGCGTGGGGTGTCGGCGGGGCGTCGTCTATGCTGCCACTCAATCCGAGGGGATCATAAAGGTCCTCGTCGGCGTCTTGACGGTGAGCGACGTCATCATGTGGGTGCGATGTCGCTCTCGGTGGCGGAGTCGAGGTGGGCGTCGAGAGGCTGCCCGACGGGGCAGGGTTGGCGCTGGCTGGGCCGTCGTCCAAGAAGTCTAATCCCCCGCCGAAGCCGAACGGGTCGTCCTCCTGTTCGTCGAGCATCGCCCGTTGGGCCTCGGCCCAGAGCTCATCCGGGTTCTGCGGGATGTATGGTCCAGCCGCGGGTGGTGCCTGGTCCGACAGCAGGGGGTTCGGTTCCATTTTGCTGAGTTCCGCTGCTGTAAACCCAGCCCTGCGGTGTGGGAGCGGCAGAGTACGGTGTCTGCGCTCGTAGATAGCGACAGCGACCCCATGAAGCACGGTCGCTTGGCGATGTCGTGTTTTGGCAGCTTCAACAATGTCGTCGGGAAGGTTGTGCGTGCGTGCCGCCGCTGTGGCAAGGGCGTCGGCCTGACGGTTGAACTCCTCCGCGATGGGCCCGATGAGCCCAAGGTCGATGCCCAGGTCTCCCAGGTGGCTGGCGATTTTTTCGACGCGAAACATGTTGGGCTTGGCCATAACACATCGGTGGATCTTTTCCCAGAGCTCCGCGTGCGTGCCCTGCGGCGCTGGATGTCCGTCGATGATGCTTTGGAACCCATCGACCACCGCCTGGTTGTCCACGAAAACGTGCACGGGCCGTTCGGCACATGCCGTAAGGTGGACAATGGCGAGGGTCTCCGCAACCTGGGCGTTCTGCGTTAGGCCGTGAACGCGTGCACTGTAGTTCATGCGGTGGTCGATGCCGTAGTAGACGCCGTAGCCCGCTCGTGCTAGCAATGGGATGGCTTGGTTGGTGCACGCACCGTCCGTGGCAGCATAGACCCATGTCCAACCAGTGTCGTAGTCAAGGTAGGTGGTGTAGGTGTCCTGGGCTGAAGCCGCAGGATCACCCTCGGGGGGGGCCGCGGAATGGGCTGTGGCAGCGGGTCCCTCGCGAGGTCGGCCTGCAGGTCGAGGAGGGCTGGGTCTTCGTCGAAGAGCCCGCAGTGTCTTGTGTGCGGCGGAAGACGGGCCCACTGGTCGTCACTGATGAGGGTGGTGAGAGGGAGTCTTTCTCGGGCCCAGCACTTACAGTCGCGGACAGTGTGCTCCTGAGTTTCCTCTTCCTCGTCACAGTAGCGGCACATGGGGCTGGGGTCTGCCGACGTGTTTGATCGGGATCGTCGCTGTTGGGTGTGGTCCCCGCCCGACAGGTAGTTCAGGAGGAGCGCCAGCTGCCAGGCAGTGCATTTGGCTGCTCCTTTAGTTCGCGCGAGCCACGTGCTGGCGAAGAGGTCAAGGCCCTGTCTGACAGAGGCGAGGTAGCCAAGGTCGTGTCGCCGTGGCTTGATCCTCCGCAGAAATGCCCTGCGTTGTGAGGCCCGCAGCATGTGCAGGAAGGCGTTTTGGGGTAAATTCAGCCAGCTGATCGGGCAGCCCCAGTCGTCGTACATGATGCCAAATGTGGGCCAGGTCCATCGGAGCTGCTGGAGCGACTGGACGAGTCGCCCGACGGGTCCTCCACCAAACAGGGTCTGGACGTGGTGTTGGAGGTCTCTGGCGAGCCCGCAGAGTGTAACGTCGCGGTTAACCTGTCGCCGCAGGCACAGGAATGCTTCACGCTGCGTGATGGCGTCGATCTCAAGGGCGTGTCCCGGCACGCACACGGCCATGAGAGTCCAGAACTCGACCCACTTGTTCCCCTTGGGGCGGATAGCCGCCTTGAGGGCGTGGTTGTAGGCAGTCTTGGCTGGGCCTGATGGTGCTTGAATGTCGGTGCCCGTGGTGCAGACGCTGGCAGCCAGGGATCGGGCGTGCCGCGCCTTGATAAGCATCGGCGACGGGAGCTTGCCTATGCGCGGCAGGCGAATAGTCGCCCTCCGTACACGGGCGTCTGCGGTGGCCGTGAGGTTAAGCGCGGCTGGAGCCGGCGCTGCCTCAGCGTTGATGTAACTCCCGACGAGCTTGAAGGAATCGACCACACGTAGGGGGCGATCCGCCAGCGTGAGCTGGGTAACGGCGGCGTGAAGCTCGTCGGTGAGCGCCCACCCTGCCACTTTACCAGGGTGAATGCGTTGACCTGAGAATCGGTCAAACTTGGCGGTTTCGTCGAGAGATTTCTGGAGCTCAGAAGCGGTGTGGGTAGTGGAGTTGCTGTCGTCAACGAAGGTAGTACTGAGTGATCGAGGAACGTATCGGTGCTGCCTCTTTGTCCACACGCACATGAGCAGCTTGATGTCATCCAGGGACCACGAGCTGCCCTGGAGGTGACCGTTTGTCCTGGCCAGGTCCCTGGAGTACGCTCCGTTCATGCGGATGTAGCGTTTGTGGTGTCTGTAGAAATTTCGGCGGACAGTAACGATGTCTTGTGGACACCCCGCGTGCAGCGCAAGGTTTAGACAGATGTCCGTGATGAGGTAGTCGAAGCACTTCTGTCGGTCAAGGGCAGCTCCAGCTAAGGGGAGGAGTAAAGTCCTGGCGTGTTCGATGCGCAGGGCGAGAGAGGTGCTGACATCCCCAATGGTGGCTTTGGGAACAGCGCCGAAGCTCGTGGCATGGGTCCATCCTTGCCGCCAGGTCGTGAGGCTACGGTAGGCTGGCGCTTCCCACGCATACATCCATACGGAAAGAACCGAGAGAAGTCGTTGGTCCGTCGGGAGTTCCCCTCGGCCTTTTCGGAGGCACGGGTTTGGCACGTGCAGGAGGGGCTCGGGGATGGTGCCAGTGCGTTGCATAGCACGTAAGACGCTGGCGAAGAGGCGAAGGATGTCGTCGGGTAACTCCTTAGCCTCCTTAGTTGTCCAGCCGTCGAGTCCCCCCGCGCGGCGCGGTGAACGGGTGCGAATGAAGTGGATGAGTTGGTCGTCGGTGAGGTGGAAAGGGGCTGCTGGTGATGGCGTAGGCAGCTCTTGTTGGTATTCGTCGTAGAAGTCCGCCCACGTCGGCATAGCTTCGGCGTCATGGCCCGCGCGAGCGCGGTACCTGCCCAAGATGGGCTCCCAGGTGTCGACCATGAGCTTAAGCATGTCTTTGGTGTTGGCAACAATAGCGTTGGCGGGGAGGGCGTCGGGAACCTGGGCAGGTGGTGGGTCACGAGTGTGGCCGTCGTCGTTGTCCGTGTCGAGCGAACTACCGTCGCTGGGGCTGAAGCCGCCGGCGTCGGTGTCGGCATCACTATCGTCCGTGCTAGCTTGGTCAGGGTTGAAGGCGGTGGTGTCGCAGTGGAGCTGTGCATCGTCGGGAGTGGTAGGCGTGCGGAGATACGCCGTGGGCGAGCAGTCGGCAGCCCGTGCGTATATGGCCGCCTTTCGCCCGCTTGGCTCGCGGACACCCTCAGCCCAGATCTTGATGCGTTCAGCTTTGG